GCTCTAGGCAGAGCGACTGCATCGCGCGATGCAATCGCAGAGTCTGACCGACATCTTACCCAACATTCAGCATACGGCCCCGTATCCTATCCTTGCCCACGGGGTAACCGTTCCCTACCCCGATCCTATCCTGTGGTTGGGGGAGGCAGGTTTCGTCATGGACCAGCCATACTCTGCGTTTCTCAGACTCCAAACAGCGCGACCCGTCAGAGAAGAGTGCCGCAACACAGGAAGGGTAGCTAGGAACCGGCCGTAGGGAATTTGCCCTGACAAACGATGGACTTAATGCCTAATGGCTAGGAATGAGACCTTAAAAAGTGACAAAAATTGTGGAACTCTGGGAGTTGAGAGTCTAATATGTATAATTTCGAGCTTGGTATAGTTAAACAGGAATAGGTTGTGAAGCAAAATGAAAACTCTTAATAGTGTTAGTTCCTTGTGCAATACGGTAATTTACAGCAGTGCTGTTCAATCAATCAATAGTAATCATATATACACGTGCCTACGTGTAAACAATTCGATTAGAGGGGGATACGGTATGGGTACTGTAGGAATGGTGCAGGATAGCCCTGAGACAAGAAGTGGGAACGTGCAGCGAGCTGTTCACAACACAGAACTCAGGCAGGCAGTGAGGTGCTGACCTGACGAGGGTGTCCACTTGTTCCGAGGTGAAGATCTCGCGTTTTCGAGTGGTCGTCCGTCGCCCGGTGCTGCTCGTCGGCGACAGCGTCCATTCGGCCGCATCCTCTGTACCCTCTTCCGGAATTGGCTCCATCGGCTCCGGTTGAAGCCACGCCATCGTGGGCGACCACTGGGCACGTCAGATGTTACGGTACAGGTGACGACGACGTAGCTGGAATCTACGATGTAGACGTGGGACGCATACGTCGAGGTCGTCGCTCGGAAAGCTGAGTGCGTCTCACCTCCTGAACAGCGACCTGATAAGGGCGGTTGGCGCACCTATGCGGACGCTACGATTAAACAGCGTTATCAGATAAGTATGGCAGTCAGCGTCAATGAGTACGGAACGAGTACAAAGCGACATAATGAGGACAAAGCACAATAGGAAGTGCAAAGGGCGACAAGCGACTTAAAATGGTACGCAAACTTTATTTGATCGTGATTCAGATAGTAAACTTCGATAATCGAATAAGAAACGAGAATCGAATTTTTGAAAATGCCCTTTCCGCTTGGCTTGGCTGGTTTCTCCAAGTTCCAAGCGAACATCTGACGTAATTCAGTACAGCATCATACGTAGCATTCATAAAAAACGGTATATATTGGAACTGATTTTGACAAAATCATAGAGTTCTTCGTCACGTGGAAGACTTAAAGGCACATCCCACAATAATAATTTGCAGATAGCTGAGTTCAAGTATGAAACGGAGGGTTCTACGTGACCCTAAAGATGAGAAAAGACGTAGTAGCGGTCGAAAACGCCATGGAATAAAGCTTCTATCTAGGTTGATTAGAGCCATCGCACGGCCTATTGTACAGGAAAAACACATGATTCTGCTCTGAAAGTATAAAGGCAGGACGACCTCATACAGATTTTTGCGGAGGAATTTTTTATAGTATTGGGTAAAAGCTACCTTACCGACTAATTTGAATTTTACCGTTCTTTCTCTCACCGATTACTTCGCAGCAGAGGATTTCATACCTGCAGAGCAGAAGGCTTCGCACTACATGCTCGCTTGGTTGTATTGGTTACTGGTGATGCCATTGATACACCTGGGAACCTTTCTACCGTCTATGAAGTCAGAGTCAGCACTTTTAATATACAAGTTTTCTCCATGTCTCTTGTCGGCTCTCTTCTGCACTACACGTTATTAGGCTTTTGGACCTCGTGCTCAATAAATGGCAAGGCCCAGCGTTGGTATCACTAAAATGGCAAATGATGGTTTGGATCATCCTAGTAGTTTTATGACAATTTATGACTTTTGTAGGAGTATAATCTTTTAGAATTTGAACTTTGTCCCTTTTCTACGGACCATCTAGGTGCTTGACGGCAATCTTTTGACTTACGAAACAACGCAACAATAACAAATAACCTATATCCGCTTAGGTGTTAATTTGCATAATTTGATATATGAGAGTCTCACCTACTCTATCACCTTCCCCTTTTTAGGCAAGGCTAGTACTGTGGAACTAGTCCCAAAATTCTGGGAGCCGTATCAGTTGAAATTGAATCTTCAGGCAGTTGGATTGGCAACCTGGGCCTACGATCAGATAGCCTTGTTCGATAGCTCCTTTTTTCGTGAAAAGAACCCAGCCTACCTGTCTCATCCTAAGCACCATCCATTTGTACATAATCAGAAGCTGATCGCCATCCATGGATCGAAGTCAAAATTTGAATGAAAACTGATATTATTACACCAATGTGATATTCAAACGTTGGGCAAAGAAGCAGTAATTGAGGTGATAAGTTTATGATAAAATGGACTTTTTATTATACGTAATGTACTTGTGTTTTTTAGGTCTGCCTTGAGCAGCGTCTCAAAGAAATAAATTAAAAATAAATGAAAAATTAACCACGAAAATCGATTTGAGAGCAAAAAGAAGCAGGTGAATGAGAGGTGTCAAATGTTTCGAGTGATTTTTGACGTGGCACATTGATGGCCGAACAACTGATAAGAAGACAGACGAGTGCGGTGAAAAATGACAAATGAGAGATGGCAGTGATTTGGAATGAATTAGTATTCAGTCAGCGCTATAGAACGAATCGAAGTTTACGTAGACGACGACGACGACAAGCGGGAAATGTCGCAATGTCCGATGCCTCATAAATAAACATAAATCGCTGTACAATGGGAATCATAGCGTCCCTAGAGGACGTGCAGCCGGATCGCTTTATCATGAGAGCAACGACGTCGCGGCGTCGAAGGGGCAGCGAAGAGCGAGCAAGAGCAAACGACAATTTGTTGGCGACAACCCTGGTGGGAATCGGAGTGCATGCGGTTGTGCTTGGAAGTTATGACGATTATGGCAAAGTAAATGGAATATAGGCAGATTTTACGATGAAAAGGTTGCTTATTGGAAATAAGGGTAGAGGTGGTCAGTGGAGCAGGGATGAAGAAGAAACCATTTGAAACGGCCCGAAACCCGAGAAATGGGACCCCTTCCTTGCCCGTTGATTTCCGCATTGATGCGACTCTCATCGTTGTGCCCTCTTCAACACTGCATCTCTCGGTTTAGGTAGCCGGTGGGCGTTCCGCGCCAACTGCGCCAAAGGGAAGGCCATGCTAGATCGCCGGGGCATATCCTTCGATGCGAATTGCGTGTTGGTCCGCACCCTTAGGAGGTCCGCCTGTCTCCCCACTAGGTAAACTTTCCCTTCTTCGACCTTCGTTCTTATCAGAATCCTGCTTTAAGTTGTTAGAGCTCTCGCAAATGATGATATAGGGTATATCTGATAAAGCGGGGCATTTGGTGTGACAGTTCGTGGGCGGTGGACGAGTTTACGAGACAGGGTCTCGGAGGAGCTATATAGGTGAAGACACGAGAAAGTATAAGAAGAGGTGAGGTGCAGACAACCCGATGGTAAGTTCTATCGTTCTCGCCATGCGCTTTCGGGGAAAATAGTCAAATTGAAGAAAAAAATGATCGCAAAAGAAAATACTGAAGGGGTGGGGAGGGGGGAGGAAGAAAGAACGTACGACTTCCGTTCGAGCTAGTGAATGGTGAGCAAAAGCGAGTGAATGGTGAGGGACTCAATGATAAAAACTGCCATCTCTTCCTACCAATGTGCATACTCCCTTTCAAGAAACGAGAAGAACGCCGGGTGCAGATCGTACACCACAAGTGACGACGGCCTCTGCAAAATGAAGCGTTGTATGAAC